CCTTGGAAACCCCATGGAGCGGTTCTGCTCTGCCCTTCGGGTTGCTATGAGTTGGATTTGAGTTGACAGCAGTGGGTTGGGTTGGGTTTTAGGAACATCTGTGTGGGGAAGGAGCCCTGGTGGCACAGTGGATGAAGTGCTTGGCATGAGTGGAACCTTCCGGTGGCTCCATAGCAGAAAGATGTGGTAATCTGCCTCTGTAAAGATTACAACCGTGGGAACCCTTTGGGGGCAGTTATACTCTGTCATAAGGTTGCTGTGACTCGAATTGGGGCTTAGCGCTACATGAGGGGTGGGGAACCTTTCTTCTGCCAAGGGCCACTTGGATACTTATAACATCATTCACGGGCCATACAAAATTATCAGCTTAAAAATTAGCCTGCTATAAGGTGATCGGGCTGCGAACCTTAAGGCCAACAGTTCGAAACTACTAGCGGCTCTGAGGGAGAAAGATGAGGCGTTCTGCTCCCGTAAAAATTTACAGCCTCGGAAACTCTGTATAGGGTCGCTATGGGTCGGAACCGACTCCACGGCACTTAACATAACAATAAGGTGATAGCTGGAGTCCTGGTGTGGTGCTGTGGGTTAATGCGCTAGACTATAAAGTTTGTTGAACCACAAGGTTGGTGGTTCAAGCTTACCAGTTGCTCCTTGGAAACCCTATACAGGGTCGCTATGGGTCAGAACCAAGTCGACGGCACTTAACAGCAACAAGAACAAAATGTTGCCTTGCAGATATTCCTCACCGCTGCTCTACGTAGTAATATTAGTCATCATTGCTATTATTTATTAAGTACAATGCTTACCTTGAGGTGGTTGTGAGCAATTTTCAACCCTGGCAGACTCTCCTCAGTCTGTGTCTCGGGAGGTTATCAGCCAGGCTCCTGCTGGTAGAGGCCTCAGGCTCTTAGGAACCTGTTCTTACTGGAGCTGGGAATGTTCTGGAGCCTGGTCCTGCTGAGGGGTGTGCCAGGTGTGGCCTCTGATCAGAGGTAAGAACACCTCAGCCTGAGGGGAGGTTTTAGACTTGAGGGATCTACTGAACTAAGGAGCCTTCCACTGGCAAAGCTGTTTGAGGAGGCCCAGTCACACCCATGAGTAGATTTGCTTTGGAGAAAAAGAAAGAAAAACTCTAGACCCTTCTCTATCCTTATCTGCCTTTGTGTGCACACAGTAAGCCCTTTCTTGGTGGTCTTGGAGGCAGGACCCGCCACCATTCCTGCTTACCCTGGGACAGTCCTTAATCTTTTCTCCCTGTGCTAGGCCTTGGACAGGTTCCTGGTAAGATTAAGGTCAGTGTTGTCTCTCCTCCCTGGAACGGGCCATTATATGCTAACCAGTTGTAAGAAGGATTTATTAAACAGGCCCTGCAGTGAATAAGGCCCAACAGGCTGCTTCTGAGAGTTACAGGCTTCTTAGAACAAGGGCAAGTCAGCAAACAGCTGAGGAGATAGCCAAATGGGAGTGTCTTAGCTACATCATGTTGCAATATCTGAAGTACCACAAGTGGATGACTTGACCAAACAGAAGTTTACTGTGTCACAATTAGGAGGCTGGAAGTCTGAATTCACACCACCAGCTCTAACAGAAGATTTTGTCTCTTTGCTGGCTCTGGGGGAAGGTCCCTGTCTATCTTCTGAGCTTCTGGGTGATCTTCATGTGACTTGGCATTTCTCTTCCTCCATCTTTGCTTCTGTTTGTTTTATTTCATCCACATCTCCATAGAGATTTATTTAAGCCTCATCTTACACTATGCCTGTCTCCTTAACTTAACAAAGAAAACCCATTCCCAAATGGGATTGTAACCAAAGGGTTAGGATCTACAACACATATTTGGGGGGGTGGGTGAGTGGGACACAATTTAATCCATACAAGGGGACAGAGGATAGAGGGAACAAGTACTCCAGCAATGGGAAGGAGGCCAGTGTGGTGGGGACTTGGGACGATGGAGACGATCCACCGATCTGACTGAGGAGGTTGGCTGGCCCTGTGGGCTGAGGTAAAGCTTGATCCTGGGAGCAGTGAGGAGCTTAATGTGTCTTTTGCCAGTGCGTGGTGGAGCCATGTGGTGGCTGATGCACCCTTGGGGGGTTCTTGTCTCTGCAGGTACAATGCTGTCACCGGGGAGTGGCTGCAGGATGAAGTTCTCATCAAGATGGCATCTCAGGTGAGCAGGGCCCTGAGCCCCGTGGGAACAGTGCCCAAGGGAGGTTTTCTCCAGCAGATTGGAGTCCATGTCCCTCTCCCCCATGTTGTTATTGTTGTGAAGTGCCGTAGAGTCGGTTCCGACCCATAGCAACCCTGAATAGGGTTTCCAAGGAGCAGCTGGTGAGCTTGAACCGCCGACCTTGTGGTTCAGACAACTTTGCATTAAGCCACAGCGCCACACCTGTCCTCCATACCTACTTTATTTTATTTTTTAACTTTGGGAATCCTTTATATCATTGTTTTTGAAATCTCACATCGCTACGTATTGCTGTTGTATGAAATAAATTCAGTGAGTTGCAATCAATCTTTTGAAAAAAAATAATGAAATAGATTAGAACGTATAGTTTACATACTGAAGAGTAGGATGGTTTTTTTTAAGTGTATGTTGAAAATTTTTTATTGTGGTGAAATCTATATTTTAAAAAGTTTGCCAAAATACAATAGGATGAGTGTAAAGCTGATGTTCTCCCATGTAAACTATCACTCAATTCACAATAAAAACTTACAAAAAAAAGTTTGCCATTTTAATCATTTTTTCATTTTTAAGTGCAGATGTAACTAATCAGCACTATCCATTTCTCAAAAATGCAGCATCCCCCCAAAATAGAAGCTCAGTATTCTTTAGCAATAGCTTCCATTCCCTTTTCCTTCCTGTCCCTGCTCAGCAGTGAAGCACTTTGGTCTTTATGCATTGACCTATTTTAAATATTTCTACAATGCTCACCTTTTTGGTGAATGACATTTCATTCAGCATAATATCGTCAAGTTTTATCCATGTTGTAGCATGCATCAGAACTTAATTTCTCTTTATGTCTGAATTTTTTTTTTTTAAAAAAAAGCAATTTTATTGTGTTTTCAGTAAAGGTTTATACAACGCGTTAGGTTCCCACTCACCAGTTTGTACAGAAGTTGTTCAGTGACATTGATTACATTCATCACATCGCATGAATAGTCTCATTATTTCCAATTGGGTTGTTCTATGTCAGTTAGTGTTAGTGACCCTGCCCTTACATATTCTCATCTTTGTTTTATTATTGACCATTAGGTCTCATATGGGTGAGTTTTTAAAGGAGCATAGCATTTACGGTTGACAGTCTTTTTTTTTTTTTTTAAACGAGTTTGACATTTATCTATAAGGTGAGCTTAGGAGTTACTTTTGGTTCACAGTTTGAAGAGTTTTTTAGTCCAGTAGTCTCAGAAAGTCCTCCAGTCTCATGTTAAGTACACTTTTTGTTGAAGTATAGCAGACACACAGAGAAGTACATGTATCCTAAGTATATGTTCAGGTACGCTTCAGCTTTAACTGACATATACGTTCAGCTTTGTCACACCTATGTGACCCTCTCCCAGATCACGAAACAACATTACCAACCTCTGTCTCCAAAGCCTGTCTCATCCCTGGCCACCCCATCTTTCCCACTGTGCTCACTTGATCTCTACAGATGAGTTTCCCCTGTTCTTGTGCTTCATGTAAGTGCAGCCAGACAGTGTGTATCTTTTTGAAGATGGCTTCTTTGATTTAACATTTAATCTGTGACGTGCTTCCATGGTTTTGCTATCCCTGTGTAGATCATGACAAGCTATGGACAACATAGTGGACAGTGAGTATTCTGGAACTCTTAATTGTTCTCATGAGGGACCCATACATAGACCAAGAGGCAGTATTTCAAACAGAGCAAGGGAACACTGAACAGTTTCAAATCAGGAAAAATACATACCAGGGTTATTCTTTCACCATACTTATTCAAGCCGTATGTTGAGCACATAATCAGAGAAGCTGGATTATATGAAGAAGAACGTTGAATCAGGATTGGAGGAAGACTCATTAACAATTTGCGATATGCAGAAGATACAACCTTGCTTGTAGAAAGCAAAGTGGACTTAAAATACTTATTGATGAAGATCAAAGACCACAACTTTCAGTATGGGTTGCACCATAATGTAAAGAAAACAAAAATTCCTCATCTCTGGACATCATGATAAATAGAGAAAAGACTGAAATTGTCAAAGACTTCATTTTGTTTGGGTCCACCATGGAAGCAGCAATCAAGAGATCAAACGACGTATTGCGTTAAGCAGATCTGCTGCACAAGACCTTTTTAAAGTATTGAAGAACAAAGATGTCAGTTTCAGGACTAAAGTGCGCCTGACCCAAGCCGTGGTATTTTTAGTAGCCTCATATCCATGCGAAAATTGGACAGTCAATAAGGAAGATCATAGAAGAATTGATGCATTTGAGTTATGATGTTAGAGAAGATATTAAAGTACCATAGACTGTCAGAAGACCAAACAACTTTATATTGAAAGAACTCCAACCAGAATGTTCCTTAGAAGCCAACGTGACCAGATTTCATCTCCCATACTTTGGGCATATTATCAGAAGGGATCAGTCCCTGGAGGAGGACATCATGCTTGGTAAAGTGAAGGGACAGTGAAAAAGAGGGAGCCCCCCCAACGAGATGGATTGGCATGGTGGCAGCTACAACAGGCTCAAGCATAGCATTAGTGTGAGGCTAGCACAGGCCCAGGTGTTGTTTCATTCTGTTGTACACAGTGTTGCTGTGGGTCGGAACCTAACAACACTAACAGCATATAATTTGTTAATTCTTATTGAATGAATAGACAAAATGATATATCATTGTACTGTGGGTGGAGTCCTATTGTGACATTGTAGGATAAGCACTACACTGCTAGCCACAAGGTCAGTGGTTCAAACCCACCAGCCCTTCCTGGGAAACCTTATACAGGAACTGCCGTGACGGCACTTAACAACAGCAACAACAATGTGGATGGACATTTTGTCTGTTTCCATCTCTTGGTTATAGAACAGACTTTCACATGCACTGTTGCCTGAGTCCTGGTGTGGCTCTGCAGGTTAACGTGCTAGACTGCAAGGTCGGCAGTTCAAGCTCACCAGCTACTCATTGGAAACCCTATACAGGGTCGCTATGCATTGGAACCGATTGGACGGCACTTAACAACAATTCCCCTCTTCCACTCATCTTCCCAGCAGCTTCCAAACCAGAAAGTCTGTTAGGCTTTGGGTTGGGTTGGAATTGGCAGAAGGGAGGGCCCAGGGATTCTGAGGTTGAGATGGGATCCAGGACACCCATTTGGTAGGGAACACCCAAATGGAACATCTGCTCCTGGCTCAGGGTGTTTCTGGGTGGAGTGTGGGGACTATAACTCTTTGTGTGGTGTCTTTCAGCCCTTTGGCCGTGGAGCGATGAGAGAGTGCTTTAGGACGTAAGTGACTCCACATGACTTGGGGCCCTGCCCAGACTCCCCCCTAAACTTCCAAAAGCTGGAGCATTGAGGCGTTTTTGGCCAAGGAACAGAGACAGTGGCCCCATCTTCCTGTAGCCCAAGCCCCTGTCTCCATCTTGTCTCCCTTGGGCTGCATACTGGGCATGGCTATGGCAGTGGGCTTGGGGGGCACAGGCAGCGCCCCACTCATCTCTGGTGTTTTTAGGCCAAGGGGACTAGGCTATGAGACCTTGGCCCCTCCTCCCAGCTCTTTGAAGGACGCAGTGGGGTGGGGAAGGCCCTTCCACCTCCCCTGGGCTCTTCCTCCTGTTCTATCCGGCTACGCGGCCAGCTCTGACAGGCTGCGCTATTCTAAGGCAACGCTTCTGCTCAGGGCTGTATCCCTGTAACCCAGAGCCCCCAGATGGTCCCCTGCTGATTTTCCCCACAGGAAGAAGCTCTCCAACTTCCTACACACCCAGCAGTGGAAGGGGGCCTCCAATTATGTGGCAAAGCGCTACATCGAGTCTGTAGACAGGGATGTGTACTTTGAGGATGTGCGTCTACAGATGGAGGCCAAGCTCTGGGGGGAGGAGTATAACCGGCACAAGCCCCCCAAGCAGGTATGTGACAGCCCACCTGCCACAGGTCCCCTACTTTCTCTTCTTAACAGAAGCTCATAGAAACCATTCATTGCACACTGGGAGACCCTGGGTAGTGCAGATGTTTTAGAAATGCTGACTACTAACCCAAAGGTTGGAGGTTGGAGTCCACTGAGGTGCCTCAGGAAACAGGCCTCGTGATCTGCTAATGAACAGTCAGGCCCTGAAAACCCCATGGAGCGACGCTCTGCTCGAATGCACTTGGACTCAACCATGAGTTGGCGTTCGATTGGTTTTCTGGGGATTGAGAAGTTTTAGCCAAGTACTTTGTCTGCAGAGACTCCTTTATTCCTTAAAACAGAGCTCTGAAGTTGGACTGTTTTTATTCCCCATTTACAGTATTTTTTGTCTGCATTCAAACTCTGTCTTAATCAGAAAGGGAACTTATTACCACATGTAATCCGGCCATAGGCACAGCCATAGCTCTGGCCAACTGAGATCCCAGCTGAGGTTGTTGGGGGACCTTTCTCCGTCTCGTGGTTTCTTCCATGCTGTTGCAGCTGTCGGCAGCCTCGATACTTACAGGGAGGCCAGAAGCTGCAGGCTTGCTCTCAGCCCTCTCAGCAACCTTTCTGGAATCTCAACGTCTGTTTCTCCACACATTTCAGTAAAAATCTCAGAATTGGGTTTCATCAGCTTTGATTAGGGCCAGGGAAGGGGATTTGCAGATTGACAAGCCTGAGATGTGTGCTCCCCCTTAGAACCAGGAGTGTGGTTCATGCCACCAAGACCTCGTGCACTGAGATTGAGGAAGGGATGGCCCCTGAGGAAAAACTCCTAAGAAGGGAGGAATGGCAAGTAGGCACACAAACAATCGGGTCTGCTCCCTGAGGAACCCAGAACTCAAAGATGTGACCAACCAGGCAGGGCTGGAACCAGGGCTCAAATACAGACTTTTAACCTGCTGCCAAGTGGACCCCTTCATTTGAGGCCTTGGGGTGGTGAGTGACCCAGACAGGCTGACTTGCCTGTTGCAGTTCAAACTCACCAGCCACTCTTTGGAAACCCTATACAGGGTCACTATGAGTCGGAACTGACTCAATGGCACTTAACGACAACAACAGCATGGCATTTTAGGCTTTGGAATCCTGGTGTGGCGCTGTAGGGTAAGCACTGGACCACAAGGTCGGTTTGAACCACAAGGCCGGCAGTTCAAATTCACCAGCTGCTCCTCGGAAACCCTATACAGGATCACTGTGAGGATCACTGTGGGTGGGAAACCGACTCGACAGAATTTGACAACAGCATTTTAGAAAATACTGCTTTGGGCCTCTTCACAGTTTTAGCTCTCTAGCTGTATGAGCACCTGCTGGGTAGAGGACACGGTTTCCTGGGCTCCTTAGGGGAGGGAGCCCCACTCTCATGTAACAGCAGTAGTTATTGAATGCTGGAGTCCTGGTGTGACGCCATAGGATAAGCACTCAATCTCAAGATTAGTTTGAGCTGCAAGGTCGGTGGTTCAAGCTCACCAGTGGCTCCTTGGAAATCCTATACAGGGTTGCTATTAGTTGGAATGAACTCAGTGGCACTTAACACCAACTGTTTGCAGGGCCTTGGTTAAGCATACTTGGGCTGGACACAGAAGCCACAGTGCCCATCCCTGGAGTCTGGCCCTAGTAACTGGAGACACTCCATGTTGGCCTCCTCCTCTTGCTTTCTAAGCTTGGTCCTTTGTTCTGTCTGTGTCCCAGATTGTTACATGACTAGCTCCTCTCACAGTGTAGGTCTCAGCTTCTCTCTCCTGCCACAGGCCGACCCAGACCCCCTTTCCATCCAGTCACCCACTGCGACATCATTCTGGTTTGTTCTGGATTCTTTTCCTCAAAGCAGTTAACACTATCTGGAAGAGTCTTGCTCATTGGTTATTGTTTGGATTTCATGTGTCTCGTTTGCTGCTGTATCTGGTGCCAGGGTGCTTGTTCAGTAAATAAGACTGTGGTTGAATTCATAAAGCCAGAGGAATGGGCTGTGTTCTGTGTCCCTACCTTTTGCCTAATGAGCCCTCTGGCCAAACAGCTTGCCCTGTCGATTCCTTGTAGGGATGGAGCCGGCATTTGGGATCTGGCTGCTCCGCCCCCCTCAGGCGGGTTCTTGGAATTGAGGCCATGTTTGGGGGAGTTCTCAGTTCTTATCTCAGGACCGCCCCAGCGTCTGCAGCTGTCATCTGAATCTGTCTGATGACTCAGCTGAGCAGTTCCTGAAGTGGCTGCTTCCTTGGGGAACTCAGATCTGCTAGCATTAAGGGAGACGGGGTACCATGGGTGACTCCTTGTACCAAAGGGCAAGTGTTAAGAAATCACCAAGAACCGTAGGTCTTCCGTACACCCCCACCCCAACACACACACCACCCCGCTGTTGGTAGTTGCTGTCGAGTGGATTCCAAGTCATGGTGATGTCATGTGTGCAGAGTAGAACTGCTCCATTGGACTTTCAAGCCAGTTATATTTTGGAAGCAGATCCTTACTTCCACGGTGCTGCGTAGTGGGTTTGAACCACCATCTTTCCAGTTAGTAGTCTGGTATTTAACAAATCATGCACAGCATTTATTCACATGTTTCTGTATGCAAAATTAGATGTATGTTGATGTTAATTGCCATGGAGTCAGTTCCAACTCATAGGAGCTCTTTATAGGGTTTCCAAGGAGCAACTGGTGGATTTGAACTGCTGACCTTGTTGTTAGCAGCCCAGTGCTTATCCTATAGTGCCACACCAGGAGTCATATTACCTTGTAAAAAATTCTGCAAGGACTGTCAACCCATTAGGCAGATGCCTTCAAGTCAATTCTGATTCATGCAGACCCCGTGTATGTCAGAGTAGAACTGTGTTACATTGGGTTCTCAATAGCTGAGTTTTTAGAAACAGATCACACGTCTTTCTTCTGAGGTGCATTTGGGTAGATTCCAGCCTCCAACGTTTCAGTTAGCAGCTGAACAAGCTGACCCTTTGCATTACCCAGGGACTCTGAGGAACATAAAAATTCTCCATAATTCCCCAATGCAGGAAGGGAACCACTGTTTACTGTTGGTGTCTGTTACTTTAAGACTGTGTCTACTGATTACAGAAACATCAGCAGTCATTGACTCACTTCTTCACACTTAGCAATGCATCAGTGAATTTAATCCTTGTAGTTAAGTCTAAGATCTCCATTCTACAGGGGAGTAAACTGAGACACAGAGCGATGGATTAACTTGCCCACATTTATATTATTAGTGTAGGGCACAGGCTACGTTGCTTAGCAAAGAGACCTACAAACACATGTTCTCATGGAACAGCCCTGCCTTGGTGGGTGGCCCAGTGTAGACTGATACTTTCTTGAAAGTCATCTTGAGACGTGATTCTTTCTGTATGGTTTCTCTGTCCTTCCCCGGGAATTGCCCTGCACTACCTGGTCAGTCTGGCTCCCTGGCACATATCCATGTGACAGCCTCGGAGAGGGGCAAGAGAAGAGGAGGAAGGTCATCACAAGTTGCACCATCATTGCTGGTCACTTCTCATTGGCCAGACTTGGTCACATGGCTACACCTAACTGCAAGGGAAGCTGAACAAGTCACTCCTAACTGGATGGCCTTCCATCTTGTAAAATGCAGGGATGGGGGTTTTCATGCTAAGAGGAAAAGCAGAGAATGGATTCTGGGGGATAATAGGTCATTTCTGGCATAGAGAGCCATCCCAACCCCTCTGCCTCACCCAACAGAGCCGGGTGCTGCCTGGGCCTTGCCCTTCCCCCTAACCCCCACTGCTCCCCTCACCCAGGTGGACATCATGCAGATGTGCATCCTTGAGCTGAAGGAGAGACCCGGCAAGCCGCTCTTCCACCTGGAGCACTACATTGAGGGCAAGTACATTAAGTACAACTCCAACTCGGGCTTCGTCCGTGACGACAACATCCGGCTGACACCTCAGGTGAGTCCCCTGGGCTCACTCTGTCCATACCTCCAGCCTTCAGGATGGGAGCCTGGCCAGACTTAGCCCCTAGAGGAGGCACAGACAGTTCTCAAGCCCCAAGAGTCAGCCTTCCAGGTTCCTCAAACCCCTTCCGCCTAGTTTTGAAGGTGATTCTGTAACGGGGTACAGTGTGCTTGCCTGAGGATGCCACAGGAGCAGGGTCCTTTCTGTCCTTTTCCATCTTGTCTCCTCTAAAACTCCTCCTTGCAGAGGAACCCCTATAAATGGGCAGAGCTGGGGTGTCACAGTGTCTCAGAGCAGCTGCCAGCCAGGGTCCACACAGCCTGGTCTCTTGTGGCCACATTTTCCTTCCTGGCACGTCACAGGCTTTCAGCCACTTCACGTTTGAGCGTTCCGGCCATCAGCTGATCGTGGTGGACATCCAGGGCGTGGGCGACCTCTACACTGACCCGCAGATTCACACTGAGACAGGCACTGACTTTGGAGACGGCAACCTAGGTAGGTGAAGAGCTGGTTTCCATGAAGACCATTGTTGTTAGCTGCTGTGGAGTCACTTCTGACTCGGTGAGCCCGTGTGTGCAGAGCAGAACCACTCCACAGGGTTTCTCGGCCTGGACCTTTCAGAGGCCAACCTCTAGGCCTGTTTTCTGAGGCTCCTCTGGGTGGGTTTGAACCTTTTGGTCGAAAGTAAAACACTTAACTGTTTGCACCACTCAGGGGCTCCATGGAAATTGTACGCCCTCCTGAAATCCCAGAGTTCTTTGCATAGCTGACACGGTGTATTGACCTTCTCAAGGTCATCAAGATGGGGGCCAGGAGCGCTGACCCCTACCATAGTGTTGGTTCCCTCCCTTCTCACAAAACAAAGAGCCACTCCAGACACGCCTGCTGTGTCCACAGGTGTCCGAGGGATGGCTCTTTTCTTCTACTCGCATGCCTGCAACCGGATTTGCAAGAGCATGGGACTCGCGCCCTTCGACCTCTCGCCAAAGGAGAGGGACACCGTGAATCAGAACACCAAGCTGCTGGTGGGTGCCTCATGTGACTCCACTTGGGCCACTTTTTTCTCCATTAGACTGGAGGGCTCTGCTGCCGCCAGAGCCAGCGTGTCCAGTGTCACTGTGTGGTGACAAGCTAGGCCCTGCTTGATGGGGAATATCAGGTCTGGGAGGAACTCATCCTAGCTGTGCCTTTCCCTTCCCTCCTGTGTAGTTACTCACACAGGCATCCCGAGTGTCTCCACTACCAGAGGAACTGGGGCTGCCTCAGGTCGGCCAGTTTTTGACCAGTGTGAGGGGAATGGGCACCTAGAGATGAAGAGAAAAGGTGTATGGTGTATGTGTTTCTGTGGTATTGGCAAGTAGTTGGGCAAGGTGCGGCTCTCTGGCATTTTACTGTGTTCTCCTCACCCGCACCCCACTACACGCACCTGATACAGGAGAATACTGGGGAAGTAGAGTTCTGGGTCGCTATGGGTCGGAACCGACTCGACGGCACTTAACAACAACAACAACAAGAGTTCTGGGTATGTAGTGGGAATTCCCAACTCAGCACGAAAGTCTGGTCAGCGCCTTGAGAAATGGTGGCCTTTAAGCTCTCATTCAGGTGCGTCTTTTCGGAGACTTTAGGGTTCATTACCACTGACTATTTTTAGATTTTTATGTCCGCCCCCCAGTGGACAGATACAGGGCTATGACTGAAAGGGCCTTAGGTCTAGAGGGGAACAACAGGGAGAACCCACTGTCCTCAGAGTGTGTTTGTGTGTCGTGAGCGTCCTTGTTAATGTTCCCAGCAATCAGCCAAGACCATCTTGAGGGGAACAGAAGAAAAATGTGGGAGCCCCAGAGTGAGGACTCTCTCCGGGAGCCGCCCGCCCCTGCTCCTTCGCCTTTCTGAGAACTCTGGAGATGAGAACATGAGTGACGTGACCTTTGACTCTCTGCCCTCCTCACCGTCTTCAGCCACACCACACAGCCAGAAGCTAGACCACCTCCGTGAGTGAGGGGTGGATCCCTGGTCACGGGGATTGGAGGGGGCAGGCACTGGGTAGACCAGGGCTTTCATGTATGTAAGAAAATCAGACACGCTAACTAAAGGGTCATGGCCTAGATGGCTTCATGGGTGAGTTCTTTTAATAAACTTTTCAAGAAATGTGTCATCCAAATGCTACAAACCTATTTCTATTGTAGAAAACAAAGCAACATGTTTCAGTGTGTTTTATGAAACTAGCAAAACCCTGTTAAGACACACACAAAAAAGAGAAAACTGCATCCAAACCTCCCTTTAAATGTCCTGTCAGTATCGCTGTTCACTTTGGAGTAAGTGCTCTTGTTTCCTTTTTAGTAATATTTTACTAAATATTACGGTGTTTTAGGTGAAAGTTTACCCAGCAAATTCAGTTCCCATTGAACAGTTTTTATACAGATTATTCCACGACACTGGTTACCGTTTTCACAATGTGCCCGCATTCTCATTATTTCCATTCTGGTGGTTCTGTTCCCATTGATCTAGCTTCCCTTCTCCTTGCCTTCTTATCTTTGCTTTTGGGTAAATGGTAACCATTTGATCTCAGAAAGCTGATAGTTTAAGGGAGCCTACTGGTGTGACGCTGTGGGTTAATACACCAGACTGCTAAGCCGTTTGAACTGCAAGGTTGGTGGTTCAGATTAATCACATTCATCATGTTGTTCAACCATCATCACTATCTATTTGGAATTTTTCCCATCAGCCTTAACATCTCAGTGTCCCTCACCAGCAATGATTCTCTTTCTCCCCTCCCTCGTACCTGTTCATGGTATCTTCTACTAAAGTTTGATTATTACAATGTACTTGGCTATTCTAGATAGTTCATCTAAATGGGATTGTACAGTATTTGTTCTTTTGTGACTGACTTACTAGTTCACTCAGCATAATGCTTTCAAGGTTTGCCATGAAACATGGGTCAAGACTTCATTTGTCTTCATGTCTAAGTAATACTCCATTGTGTGGATAAGTCTACATTTTGTTTATGTATTCATCTGTTGGTCATCAAGCCTTTTATTTTTAACTCTTAAAAAAAGGGAGTAAAAATAGGGAAAGAATATTGTCAGCACATGGGGTGGGAAAGCAATAGTTCTTCCTTAAGTCATTCCAATACAACTATTGGTCTCTACTCATATGGAACAAAAGAGAATGAAAGAAACCATGTGTTCAAAGAAGAAATTAATCTGCAGGACTAATAGCTTACACGAACCATGGCTTCTCTAACAGATGATGCCTGGCTACCACTACCACGATGAGTGTGATTAATGCCATTGAACTGTACATGCAAAAAATGTTTTGATAATATATATATATATTTACCACAATTTTTTTAAAAAAGGGAAAGCTTGGTGGCAGGTCCAGCCCACCCTCCATTGATCTTGTAGACAATTCCAGTGCTTTCTCTTCATTCTCCCTCTGTCCAGATTGGCCGGTATTCAGTGACCTTGACAACATGGCACCCAGAGACCAGGACCATCTGGACAACCAGCGGGTGAGTGGAGAGTGGGAAGGAGAGGCTGCAGGCTCCAGCCCCCCAGTAGAGCAGACTCACTCCCAGGGAGGCAATCTTCAGATTCAGTGCTGGGCACCCAACTCTGGAGTATAGATCAATCTTGGCCTCTTGCCCAAGACAGAGGATTCTTCTCTAAGGCTAAGCAAGGATGGCCACATAGAACGAGCTGTCCATCCCAGTTCCCAGAGGTAGTTAGACAAGAGAGAGGCCAAATCAGCAATAGTGCGACCTTCTGATAAACATCAGCTCAGCCACTGTTTTGGTTCAGCTACACATGGTGGATGTTTATCTCGTAGGACCCACACAGCCCTGTAACATAACAAAGTCAGCTTTGTTGTTGTGATGTTTGAAAGTTAGCTAAGTAGAACACATTTCCTATAGCTTTGTGTGGACTCAGTGGTACGCATTTGCATTCAGACAAACCTATATCGTGTTAAATTAAACATGACCTTTCAGCTAGCAGTCCAGCGCTGATTCCATACATGTCAGCTATGAACTACTTTCTTCTTCCACTCAAGCACTCCAAAAAGCAGTCGAGAGTGAACATAGTAGAGGAAACTGAGGTTCAGAGGGAAGTAAGCAACTCCCCGAGATTACAGCTGGTGACCCTCCAAAATGGATTGGCAAAGTGGCAGCATCAATGGGCTCAAGCATGGCAACAATAGTGAGGTTGGCCCAGGATCTGGCCGTGTTTCGTTCTGCTGTGCATAAGGTCACTATGAGTCGGTATCGACTCTATGGCACCTAACAACTACAACTACAACAACAACTGATGAATACCAGGGCCAGAATCTGAGCCCAGGCAGTCTGCCTCCTTGACACCCAACCAGGAAGAGGCCAGAGGGAGAGGGCATTAGGCACGTTACAGGATAAGGAAGAGAAAGCAAATGGTTGGGATGCTTAGCTGTCACCATTCCCACCAGGTAGGCAGAGAACCACTGGGACCCTATGGTCATCTATCTTCTCTCCACAGGACTCTGAGAACAGTGGGGACAGCGGATACCCCAGTGAGAAACGGGGTGAGCTGGATGACCCAGAGCCACGTGAACACGTAAGCACCCCCTCAGGAAGCAAAGCTAGGAGTGCCTCATTATCCAGAGGGCAAAGAGCCAGAGAGAACCTGAGTGGGTCCTGAGAGACAGTAAACTAATAAGCAAGGTCATTTCATATTAATGCCGGAAGAAGGTAAGACGTGGACACGAAAACAAGCGTGGTAGTTTAGGCACAAGTAGGTTGGAAATAGTAGGCAAATCGTACAGTGAAGCTTGTCCCTTTGGTTGCTAAGCTGAGGATGCTGGGTAATGGGACAAAATGACGCTGGTCTAAGTAGAGGAGCCCAGCTCAAACGCACAGGATTCTGGCAAACCCTGAAAAAGGCCTTTCCTCAGGCATACACCCACCAGTGTGGAAGTGAGGGTGGCCTCTCGGGCAGCATCCACCACTCAGGGATTTTGCCAGGTGTCCAAATGGACCAGGTCTTGCTGGGAGATCTCTGGTCTCAGCTTTGCGTGTGAATAAAAAGCATGATTTGGCTAAAAGAAGTGCTTGATCCTGCTTCCTGGTGGCTCCTGTGCCTTTGAGTCAGTTCTGCTCCTTCACAGAGAGGCGGATAGTAGAATTCATGCCTGTTACCCAGCATCCTGTCTGCTTAGAATCACTTGGGGTGGGTTGGGCCAGACCCCAGGAGGAAAGTCCCCTGAGGAGAGTCACTTGGGGAGGGATTGGCCAGTTCCTCGGGAAAATGGCCTGTTTGACTCAACCTTCTCTCTACCTCCATTCAGGGCTACTCAAATGGTAATCGGAGGTCCGAGTCTGACGAAGACAGTCTGGGCAGTTCTGGACGGGTAATGAGCCCCAAGGAATCCGGTGGCTTCTTGCTTACCTTTACTATCTGTTTCTGTTTCCTCTCCCCTATCCCCACGACTTCCTGCCCACTTACCTCA